AGATGCTCATAACCAGTATAAGAACTAACCACATACGAATGACCAAATAACCACTTACTGCACCGTTAATTTTGAATTTTTATTTTAAATGACCATTCTGGAAACAATTACTTCACAGTTAACATTACAAACCATTATGCTATCTCATGAAATTAAAATGGGTATAAAGTTAAATAATTCAATCAGAAGAAGAAGTCAAATTCAAGTAAGATGACAAATATAAATCCAAACATTAAATAACTTCAACAACCTCCCTCCTGGGCAACACAAAAATATATTCTTTTGCAAATAAAACTTGTAATCACTCACCTATTTAATAGAACTTCAGTGGTTGTGGACAGATATGGAGTATGCATTTTAAGTTTTACAGGACAATGATCATAGTTTTATCAAGCTAAAACATGTAACATTAAAATTTGTCGGTCACCCATCCAACATACCCAACCAGCAACATTTCAAATACATTTTAATTCAATTCTTAAATGCATACCCAATTAACTATAACTACACCTGTTCCGCACACTTCGACTTCAGGTTGGGGGAATGGTACCTTTTCGTTGTAGCCTTCCTATCTTCTGATCTCTAGGACACCTATTCCGCACACTTCGACTTCAGACTGAGGGGAGGTACCTACAAAAGACACTGCGACGTTCAAGTTAGACGTTGCTTAATGAACTTTTTCTCACAATTGAGTATTAGAATTCTGTAAAACATCCTTACTTTTATGGGGTAACCTTGTATTTATTAGTTATTTCATGGACCTTAAACTGTCACAGGTTCAATAAAACGAACTTACCTTCTCAATTGTTATGTTATTTATTCAGGTATTATTTGCCCAAATCACTGACCCAATAATATCTTGTACGGGACCTAATTATGGCCTAACATTAATAACTTTAAACGTTGGTCCAACATTGATAAAAAATTTGTTTAAGTCACCACTTGCCCTAAAACAATAATGGTAGTTATTATATTATTATAAGAGTTATCGTTATTGTTTCATAGTTATTGTTAATTGATGATAAAAGGAAGATGAATGTTATTGGTAGTGTCGTTTTTCAATATTATTTATTACTAAATATTTTAATTAAAAGCTATGAAAACATTTTTTTTAATAGTGTTTTATTTGTTTTTTTACTTTGTTAAAGATGTATGAAATATTTAAAAATAAATGATAAAATCAGTATAAAACGTCATATCCAAAATGAACTAGTTATCTTTATGAGCGTCTTTTTTAAAAGAAATTGTGTATGTTAAAAAGGAAGAATTTCTATTAAATATTATTATATTACATACCTACTTAAATATAATTTTGAAGAAAATAAATTATACCAATCGAATATGATAATAAACACACATAATAAAAAAATATTTATCATTATCTTGTTTATCTTACTCACTATGCAACCCTCTAATTTTTCATTAAAATGTACAATTAACACACATTAAATAATAAAACTTTATTCATGATTTTTTGAAAATGTCAATAAAAAATTATTTTACAATCATAAATTTTATTGAAAAAATAAATATAAGACTAAAATATATTGTTTCCAAAATATCTCATGATATTAACAAAATAAAATCTCAATGAAAAAAAAAACTCATTCAATGTTTAAAACACATGATATAAAAAAATATATTATTTTTTATAACAAACTACAAGAACGCCTTCACTCATAAATTATTCCATTTGTGTTTAAATTTTGACACTCCATAGACCCTCGAGAACCATACACACTCAAACTATTTCACAAAGTTATCTGCAAAAAAAAACATTCGTCCTCTTCATATAATGATATAAATAATATTTTTTTCTTACGTTATTTTATATGAAATGATAAACTTTATAATTACTTTAGTGATAATATTTGGTGGTATTAACACAAACACTTTTTCAGCTCAGAACAGTAATGAAATATTCTTTGTTTTGAAATACATTTGAATTAAATTTGTTTTGAAATATTCTTTATAATATTTCAAATTAATTTTAAAAGTATTGCCTAAATATTTTAAAAAATTTCTCTTGAGAAAACAAAACATTTTGAAAATTTTGAAGAACTTTTAGCATATTTTATAACAAAATAATTATGTATTTAAAATTAATTAGAATTACTTCCTCTTAGTTAGAACTAATTCCACGATTCAATGAAGGAAAATATAATTACTTGTTTAATTAGTTTCAATAATTGCTTTTCAGAATGTTAAGTTTTAATATTTGAGAGGGTGTTTTAAAGAAAAAAATAGTTGTAGAAAAAAATGTATAAAAAAAAGGCAAATCAATAAAAGTAGAAGTTAAAAATGGCACATACAAAAATTTTAAAAATTGGGCCAAGAGGGATAGTTTGGGCCTGCATTTTGGACCTTCCAAAGTTGGTTCGGTGGAGTATGGACCAAAAAATATAAAGAGAAATGAGTGCATGAATAACAACTAGCAACTAGGGTTTTAAAGAGAGGCTACTCCTCTGTCTCTTCCGTTCGTAGCAGGGAGCTCCAGCGTATCTCTCAACTTCAGAATGGTTCGTTTCCCCTTCTCGTTTGTTTTCGTAATTGTTTGATCTTAGTCCTTTCGGCATTTTATTTTAACTATCTGATTTTATTGAAATGTCCATTTTCCTTAATATCTGAACTTATGGTTTCCTTCTTTGCAATCAAAGTGTTGTTATCTGTTTGAAATTCAGATCCATGTTTTAAATCTTGGTGTTGGCATTCGATTAGCGATGTCTTCATAACTTTGAAGAGTTTAATGGGTTTTCTGTAGGTTTCACTTTGTAATGAAGATGGAAGAATATTGAGATTTGAATATGGTCTTTTTTTTTTCATTTTTATTATAAAGATAGCATAGAGGGGAAGAAATCCGTATGTTATGGCTTCATGCCTTCAGGTTTTATTTGTTTACCGCAAGACTTGAAATCCGTATGTTGTGACAGGCTAGAGGATTGAAGAAGCATTTGAAGAGGCTCAATGCCCCAAAGCATTGGATGCTTGACAAACTGGGTGGTGCTTTTGTAAGTGAAAGTTTCACCTTCTTTTGAACAGTTTTAAGGGAGCATTTCAGAGTCTGATGTGAAATTGTTTTTAAAATGTTTAGGCTCCCAAGCCCTCATCTGGACCACACAAATCTAGGGAATGCCTGCCACTCATTCTCATTTTGCGAAACCGGCTGAAGTATGCCCTGACATACCGCGAAGTCATTGCTATTCTGATGCAACGACATGTCCTCGTTGATGGCAAAGTCAGGACAGACAAGACATATCCTTCTGGTTTTATGGGTATGTATGGCGATTGTCAATTTTTAGAATTACTGGTCCCTTCATGTAGTCACCGTAGTTTTTATTTTTTGTGTGTGCTGAGTGGGGGTTGCATAATATGGTATGGTAATTCATTGATATTGTTATTGTTTGCTTCATTAGTTTTTGATGTATTTCTCTATACAAGATGAACTGAAACTCCCAGCTAACCTAGTGTAAAGGAGAGTTTACCCATTACAACACCACTACATTTATTTATTTTGCTCAATGCAGTGTTTTCTTTTCTGTTTGATACAATTAAATTTTATATCTTTACAGATGTTGTATCCATCCCCAAAACAAATGAGAACTTCCGGCTGCTGTATGACACTAAAGGTAGATTCCGCCTTCACTCAGTCAGGGACGAGGAAGCTAAGGTACTTTATTTTGGTTACACTGAATGAATTTCGTCCTTTGCTACTCCTTTACGAGATTACACCACTATTATTATACAATAACAGACTGAATAAATTTGTTCTAAGTTCTTCTGCATATACTATTAATCCGGTGTTGAATGTTCATCCCATCGAACCTTTGTAGCCATCCTTTTTTGGGTTGGGTAGTTGTTTGGATTTTGTTGCTGCGACCTAGATCTTGCTTAGTATTTATGAATCCACACTTGTTTTGCTTGTTCGATGGCAGTTCAAGCTCTGCAAGGTTCGATCAGTGCAGTTTGGGCAAAAGGGTATCCCATACCTGAACACCTATGATGGGCGCACTATTCGCTACCCAGACCCTGTCATCAGAGCCAATGACACCATTAAGTTGGACTTGGAGGAAAACAAGATTGTTGATTTCATCAAATTTGATGTTGGGAATGTAGTTATGGTAACAGGTGGAAGGAATAGAGGGCGTGTTGGAGTGATCAAGAGCAGAGAGAAGCACAAGGGAAGCTTTGAGACTATCCATGTTCAAGATGCTACTGGGCACGAATTTGCAACTCGTCTGGGCAATGTGTTTACCATCGGCAAGGGAACAAAACCTTGGGTATCTCTTCCCAAGGGTAAAGGTATTAAGCTTTCGATCATCGAGGAAGCTAGGAAGAGGATTACCGCCCAACAAGCTACTGCTGCTTAAATTTTTATTAGGCTATGAATAGACTACTCTTGAGTGCTTGTAGTTTTTATGTGATGGTTTTTGCTTTCTAATTTATTATCTGGAGATTTTATCCGTTGAATTTTGTCATAGAACTCTTATTGCTGCTGTTATAACATTCATGAAGGAATCTTTCCATTCCATAGTTTTGATGTAGTTTAGTTGGAACAAGTTTCTTACCTAAGTCCATTCAATGCATCTTTTTAAGAAAATATAGTTGTTTTCCATATCAGCTTGCTTTTTCCTTCTAAGCAAACAAAAACTAGTTACGAAACAATATTCTATTATGATTTAATGTTAAGCTTCTACTCTGTATAGTATCATATGTCTGCAATATAAATGTTAACTATTAAATTGTATGGATTTAAATCATTAAATCATACGTAAAAGAGATGAAATCTTGAAAACGGATATTGTAAACAGATTTTTGCGAGAAATAATATCTCTAAAAATTCATGGATGAGAGAATTTATAAAAGACCTCATTGAGTTAGATAAATCTTTTATTTTATTCTTATGGTTGGAATTTGCTTACAACATTTCATACGCTAACCCAAATATTATTAGACAAATTTTCTTTCTCATTTTCTAATCTCTGAAACAGTTTTTTATCAAACAAGTTTTTGTTTTTCAACTTATTCTATTAAAAAGTAATTAATAAAAAATTTAATTAAATTTTAAGTTCCTTACAAATCTGTGAATTTTCATTTGAATCTTTATTATCTGCTAGTCAATTTTTTTATACCTTTTCATTCATTATTTATAGTTTAATAATTTTGTTAATAGAATGACTTGTATCTTATTCTGCTTTATGTGTAAAAAATGTGAAAATTTGTGATTAGTATAAAACAATATCTAAGTAATAGAATTCACATGTCAATTTATACTAACCATAATATTATTTTATTAATTACGAAAGTCTAATTTTTTTGGACACATGGATATAATGAAGGGGATCAAATAATACTTATATTACCTAATTAATGAAAAAAAGTAAACAAATTAAACTATCAATACTCAATTGAAAAATATAAATTTTTTAAATAGATAGACAAATTTAATATGAACTTAATTAAAAATATCAAAATTCATGATAAACTTAAAATTTAATTAAACTTTAATAAAAATTATTTTTAAAATTAAATTAGACAATAAATAATCGTCTTTATGTGTTTTCTTTAACCAAAATCAAGTTTAAATTTGTAATTATTTATTCTATCCCTTTCACTTGAAGTTCTTACACTTTGTAATTACATGTGTTGGATTATTAAAATGGAAACATGTAATGTCTTTCTTTGACCTTAACTTTCCTTTTGATTTATTACTATCATTAAATATTTGAGATCGACAATTGAATATTTGAACTTTTAAGAGTTTATGAACATATTTCTTTTTCTTAACTCCATAACTAAAACTTCATTTTGAGTAGAGGAGATAATTTTATTGTTGTCCTTCCTCCTAGTTTCTTCATTTAAGAAGTTATCCTTGATCATGTCAAAAGTAAGTTTTCCATTAGAAGTGGAGTTACTCACACCAATATTTATGATTTCCATTAGAAGTGGAGTTACTCACACCAATATTTATGAGTTGTCTGGTAATGAGCTTAGCAATAACAATGTTAGTAGTTCATCATTTAATACAATCTCTATAGTGGTAACCTGATTTACTTTATTTTGAAAACTATGTAAGTGCTACTAGCTTCCTAATAAGAAAAGTCTCACTTGACACATGATGATAATAGATTTATCTATCCATAACCTAATCATGCCAAAGTCTTCCTCTTTATCTGCTTCCAATCTCAATCAGATTTATCTTCTGTATCAATCGGAAGCTTCAATTATAGAGTGGTACATTACAAAGAAGCCATTGAGTTTTGCTTAAGTTATATGCCAAGTTTTGAACCCGTAGAAGTTCCTTAGAGTAGACATGAAGTTAGGGGAGTTTGAGGAGTGAAAATTGAAAGTATTACTAGAAAAGAAGTTGATCAAGCCCATTTATTCGTCTTAAACAACAATGTCAAAGTGATTCCTTTCATTTTGCAACATACTGATGAAATCAAGTCCACACTGAGTGAAAAATAGACATTTAATGAACGTACCAAAACTTTCTTACCATGGTTTAAGAAAAAGGTTTACGCTATTCCAAATGTTTCTGAAACTTTATTAAGGCTAGCTCGTGGGTAAAACACCAATGTGGTAACATATGGTGGCCATTACATAAGCAATTACTATTTCTATTCAAAGATGGAATATGATAAAAGTAGAGTTCAAAATAAGAGGGTTACGCTTGAAGTTGAGGTTGTACACTTTGGTAATTCTAAGGACAAAAATCTAATTACGACATCAATGAATTATTTCGTAATAATACAAGAAATATGGGAAGGTAACTATGTAATTTTTAGAGTGTCAGTTTTAAAGTGAAAATGGGTTGATAACAATTTAGGTGTGTGGAGAGATGACCTTGACTTCACTTTGGTGGCTATTAACAGGAAGAATTATACCGATGAATAATTTATTATAACTAGTCAAGCAAAAAAAATATTCTATGTCATTGATCCAACCAATATAAAATAGTCAGTCATATTGAAAGGAATAAGCATGCACAAAAATCATGATGAATACTCTTTAGATATACTTGCTACGTCTTTCTCATCAAGAACCATTGAAGACAAGATTAATGACGTAGCTGATGACATATATGTCATTCCAAGTGATCACAATGAAGGATATATGGGAGAAAACAATACCCTAATAAGTGTTTTTTTATTAATGTTGGCACATTTACAATTTTTTATTTTGTCCTATTCTAACTTTATAGAGCTAATTGGTTATATTCTTGTTATCTATATATACTAATTATGTGTTTTTAGGTATGACAAACTTTGGATCAGGAAAGAGTAGGCTTGACATCTCTGTGACTCAGTTTCCAAATGTCACAACCCTACGAATTCCCATTAAGAGGTTAATGGTCAAGATTGATTGTCGATTAGGTACACCTAAAAGCCTATATACGAAAAAGTTTTGTAGCTATTTGAGAATTTTGGCCAAAATACATGTGTCTACTATGATTGCATATTGGGATGATATCCTGGAGACAAAGAAGAACCTCTTATGGTAGGATGCTCTAGTGTGTTTACTTAACACATATATAATGTTTAATATGTTTACTTAATTCATTAACATTTTTTCTATTTTCAACATCAAAATTTTGACATTCTAAATATTGAGCAAATTAGGAAGAAGGTTTATCTCACATAACCAACAAATTGAGGGACTTTAAGACAAGACTTGCATGCCTTATGTGTTAAGAGGCAACCAATATGAAAATCCTTGTAATAAGTACAAAATAACTAAGGAGGAGGGGATGAAGTTTTGTGCATCTAAGAGTCTAGGTACTGACAGCTTTATTTCTTAATTTTTTTATAGTCACATAAGGCATACATTTGTGATTTAAAGTTATAAATTTATGTTATGTGTGACACAAAAAAGAAGAGTACCCTAACAAAGACAAAAGCTTAATGATGCACCACATGTATTATCATGAGGTGGTTATGCATTATTCGAGAAACGATTAAGAAAGTCTTGTGTAGAGGCTTTAACTAACCTAGTACCTGCACCTCCTAGGTACGAGATGTGGAAAGGCTACTCAGACTAAGTTCGATGAGCACATGACATCACAATCACCTCAATTGATATATGAAAAAATAGTAAGTACTAACCCTAAACCCAAAACCATAGTTCATATGAAGTACTTTATGATTAAACTTGATCATGTGGTGTAGGATGAGTTGGTTGAGCAACCAACTCAAGGTTCATTTGTTGGGCATGGTCATGAGGATATACTCACAACGACCATTGGAAAGCCAGAGCACCCAGATTGTGTGTGTGGCATTAGAGGTGCAATTGGTCTTCAAGATTACTTTAGTCCTCCACAAAGAAGAAGTGAATCCTTGACTCATGAGATCTTGAGGAAGATGGAACTCTAAATGGAGGAAAGAATCAAGCAATGCATGATAGTTATAAAGCAATGTTTCATGGAACAACTTCAACAACAACAACAACAACAAATACAAAGAGCACTTGAAAAAAAGTTTAGTCCATACAACAATATAATATGGAGTTACACACTGAAGCTTCAATAGAACGTCGTGTGAGCATAAAAGGCTTATGCTCTGCTGCACATCATACTGACTACACCTATCAGTATGAATTATTGGTTAATGGAGATCCCCTGCGCATAATGGCCATAGGACGACAACTTGAAAGAGTGCAAAATATTCAGGGTGCTCCTCTATTGCCCCACTACGTTCATGTGACGATTGATGAAGTTCGAGATTCCCAGGCTAAAGGACCTATGCCAACTTCAGAAATCCAATTTGTAGAAAAGGCCCTAGGCATTTTTATAGCTTGGTCTAAAGCATTGATCATCTCATACTTTGGCCCACCACAAGTATTATATTGTTATTCTTAGTATTTTTATCTTACATTTTATAAATAAATAATCCATACCTTTGAAAATCTTTATTTTAGTTCTCGCGTCTTGAGAGTAGGTCATGTGCCAACCTATTATCCATGAAGATGATAACATAGCAAAAACAGAAGATGATCCTTGTCATGACAAAATTAAAGAGACCGAATAAAGGACTGATAGAGCTAGAGTGAGAGTTAAGAGTATTTGATCTCCAGTGTTATGTACCATTGTACATTACTTTAAATGATATGCATTGGAGGTAATTGGAGGGGACAAAATGTTGTTCAATCATACAACTATGTTACATATAAGATTTTTCATTGTCTTCCATATTTAAATTGCTACTTTTTAATATATACTTAACAGTCTATATTTTTCATTGTCTTCCATATATATATAAAATTTATTTAGAAAAATTAATTAAATTTAAATATATGATGATTTAAAAGAATAAAATAGTTATTTTAATTTAAAAATAATCAAATTTAAAGTAACGACTATTTAAAAGATAACAATAAAAATATAATTATTTTAATTTAAAATCACACTTATTTAAAGAATATAATTAAAAGAAAAATGTATACAAAAAAAAATCTATTATATATAAGTATATATTATATTCTATGTAATTAATTGTCGCAAAAAAATGTTTTCAAGATTTAAAGTGAAAAT